CTCAAATGCAGTTGTTAGAGGGGGAGGAAAACAGTCACATCTGTGGCTCCATCCACTTGTTGCCCCTTGCTGTACCCACCACTGATACAGGATTCCTAGAAGGTTGCCCCTTGATTGAAAAAGTTTCCTCTTCCCTGTTCTGCACCTATACAATACAATAACATACAAACTAGAGCCCTAGACTACGAAAGGCAAATTCTTAGCAGCAAAATGGCTTTTTTGTAGATGGGGAGGCAAAGGAGATCCATTTATGAATGCATGTGTGGGCGGGAAAGTTCATCTGCAGTAATTTCAGCTGACAGATTAACAAATGGAAGTGTATTTTCACATCATTGCATAAAATATATTGTTTTAACGGCACAGCAGATAAAACAATATATTTTGAGGGGGTGGCTGAACCTAGTTGAATATATATATATTCAAGATGTCACTCCTAGACTGTGGAAACAGCATACAGAAGCCTTTCTTAAGAAGCTTGTTTTCCACTACGCCCCCTCCCCAACTTAGTCTCAGAGCTATTTAAGATGTCCCATGCACTTCCACCATAAAAAGGACACCTGTCTGAAAAGAACTAATGTGAAACGGGCAGTCCAATTCAGTGGCGGCTGGTGCCCACTGCCACTGGTAGGGCAGAAGGCAGGGAATCCAACTGTAGGTGGAGCCAGTTGCAATAAGTGGCAGGCCCATTAATTCTAATGTCCCAATCCTTCCTCCTGAACTCTACAGTGGCAACCCTAAGGAGACTAAGGAGGAGGAAGCTGATAGCCGGTGCAACCCTAATCAACTGGTTGTAAGCTAGAAGGCATGCAGACCAAGGCTGACGGAGTGTCCCCCCCTTACCTTAATGGACCTGGGCAGTGCAGACATATGCTCTGCCACTGCGTGAAAATGGGCATGGTGAAGGGATCAGAGCCCTTCCCAGCTCCTGAGCCCCCCTTTCCAGTTGCCTGAGGACACTGGGTACCATTGAAACAAGGTCTGCATGTCAGCCTCCTTATATTATCTATGGTGGGGGTTTGTGTGTGGCATTCTCCACATTCTCACACCATTTGAAGTGCTCTGGGTAGCTTTGTAGGAGACAGGACCTTTACAGTGATGGCACCTGCCTCGTGAAACTCCCTCCTGAGGGAGACTAAGCAAGGCTCAAATTACGGGTTAGGAGGAAGTTGTTTCAAAAAAACATTTGGAATTGAATATAATTAATTGCCCCCTGGCTTTGCTGCTTTCTTCATTGATGTTGGTGTTCACTTCATTGGTGTTTTATTGCATTTTTAAAAATGTATTTTTATAACTTATTTGTGGAAAGGCAGAGTATAGGTATTTTTAAACAAATAACTAAAATGTGAAAAGAAATGTCCCCCCTGCCCCACTTTTGCTTCCTGGATTCCCCTGCGATTTCTCATTTAGATGCCTGGAAGGACCGCTGAGCATTCACAGAGCAGGTCTTTGTTGCTATATGTCCTCACTGACCCTCAGATTACCTGGGCAAATCCCCTTATGGAATTACCTGAGCAAATGCCCTCCTCCATAATCTCTTTGGCTTATCTCCCCTTCTCTGAGATCTCACCTACACAGATGGGTGTAAATTGTTCCTTGCATGGAAATATAGCTTCTGTGCCTCTCCCTGCCCCCGCACATACATTACAAGGCTACAGAAGCTTCAGATCATTTCAGAATTTGATTCTCTGCTAGACAGGAAGGGAATTATGCCACAGCTACAATCAGAACATGATGTTCATGCTAGTAATTCTAAGGAATCACACTAAAGCCAAGAGGTTCAAGACTGCAGTCTGACATTGCAAGGGGCTTATTTATGGGCCAGTTCCTCTTGGAGGTAGAAACATTCCTCCCAGAAGAAGTGTTTGGATTTGATATCCCGCTTTATCACTACCCGAAGGAGTCTCAAAGCGGCTAACATTCTCCTTTCCCTTCCTCCCCCACAACAAACACTCTGTGAGGTAAGTGGAGCTGAGAGACTTCAGAGAAGTGTGAAGAGGATTAGCCAATTGATGGAGGATTGGGCTACTAGCCATGATGGAGGCAGTATGTCTCCACTGTCAGAGGTAGTATGTCTCTGAATACCAGATGAGTGGAATCATAACTGGGGAGAATATTGTTGCACTCAGATCCTTTATGTCGACTTCCCATAGATATCTGGTTGGCCACTGTGAGAACAGGGTGCTATATTAGATGGGCTTTTGGCCTGATCTAGAAGGGCCTTTCTTATGTTTTGAGTCAATCTCAAAAGGGAGGGACAACCCTATGTTTCCTAACATTGATTTTATATATGAGAACAAACATCACTAGTTGTACTGCATGCTGAAGAAAATGACCTTATGCTTATGATGCTGCAAACAGACCTTATAAATTTGTTTGGGAGTCATGGCCACTTTCACAAAACAAATATTTATATTTTCTCTCTATATAGATCATCCTCTCCCCTTAATGTGATCAATGGCTATCAGTGTGATGGGGATGCTTTTAACAGCAAAGTGGAAGGTGGTCAGAAACATTCCACAGAAGACAGATTTGCATTGTGCCTTTCTAAATCTGAGGGAATTTGAGACAATCTGTCACATAAATGCCCATGTCATCAGTTCAATGCATTTGGAATTCAGGTGAAGATGAAAACAAGTAGGATATAGAAGGCTTCCATACTTAATTCTATACCACTGTGGTATTCTGATGGTCCCTCAACAACAAAGTCTGAGATGGGAGCAAAACTGCTAGATGGGGACTAAAGAAAAACTAAGAATAAAGGGAAGGGAAAGGGTTGCCCAGAGTGTATACGAAAACATACATTTCATGTTTCTTTGAAAGATATATTTCAAACCAATACATGGAGATCAAAGTTTGCAACTGAGTGATAAAATGTTTTCTCCATCTTTTAAGTTAATAGCATGATAAAAGCATGAATTTGCCCTCCCTGAGTGTGTAGACTCCATTTTCTACCCCTTTCAAGTGATTCCCTCCCCTATTCTGAGCAGGGGTGTGTGTGTGCGCGCGCGCTTAGGAAGGGGATGATTTTGACTCACACATTTCTCAATACATATTTACGTGTGCAAATTAAGATCAATGTGTGATATCTAAGCTGAGCAGCCATTGTGTGTATGTTTTCTGGGGAGTTGATGCCTGTCAAGCGAACATTCCATTTCCAGGATGCTTTATTTATTTATTTATTTATTTATTTATTTATTTATTTATTTATTTATGGGAATGGCAGAAACGGAAAGAAAGAAACTTGGTTTGATTGCTCACCATGAAAAATAAAAGCTATTTGTAAATTCACACACAAGAATAGTTAAAATCTGAATTAATTTCCTCCCCTGTATTTTTAAGCACTGCCAACAGATGGGGAAAGACGGGCGTGGATCAGGGTTGACAAAAATGAAAACAAAAGTCACACCCACACCATACATTTAAAGCACATGTTTCCCCCCAGCAAAGAATAATGCAAGTTTTAGTCTGTTAAGGGGGACTTGCAGCTATTTGAAGGGTAAATCAGCGCTTCCAGGATTCTTTGAGGGGAGCAACGTATTCTAAATGTATGCTATGGATGTGGCCATGATTACTCTCTGGGTTCGGCCCTACCAGACCTGAAAGTGGAGGTCTCCTCAGAGGAGAAGCAAGGGGAGTGGGACCCTCTTGCAGATCACCACACTGCCAGTGACTGATGAGCCAGAGGGACAAGATATCCTTTCCTCAGGATTGGCGGTCCCCACACAGCCTGTGGAGCTTGCTGGCTAACTCTCAGGAGCCGAGAAGACAGCAGGCCCATCTGGAGTTTCTAAAGCACTTGGCTAGCTGCATGTAAAGCTACTTCGGAGGAGAGGGAAGCACACGGAAATGTGTGTCCGCATGAGAGCTGGGAAGCATGTGTAACATCCAGTTCCTATTCAAATGCTCAATTTGATGGGCTTTATCATGGAAGCTGCCAGTGAACCCTACTATTGGTGGGTCATTTCCTTCACTACTTATAGAGTCAGGCATGCCTGGTGAACAAGCAGAGGTAGCAGCAGATCCCAGCATTGGCGGATGTGTGGGGTCAAGAACTGGTGTGGAGCCCTGTAGTGTACTGACCCAACAATGCTAATGGGCCAGTTTGATGGGCTTTATCTTATCTGTGATAGGAGAAAGGTAGGATATAAATATAAAAATCTTCTTCTTCTTCTTTGGTGATCACTCGTAGCCGAGTAAACCATAAACATGGTTTTAACAATGAATCCGTAAGTGACTGTAGAGGCCAATTCTGGATCCACATGTCCTTCCACAATGGGGACATTGGTCCAAAAACGGGCTGCTCAGTCATGGATACAGCTGCCAAGCTGTTCAACTGCCTCGTTCCTTGAGTCAGAACGACTGAATCTGTATCCACCGCCCATGTGCTGGTTCATGACTAAGGGCTTCCAAATTTCACAATCCTGCCCCGTTACCATTTGCTGATTGCCATGGGACTTTTGGGGTTTGGGTTGGGTTTTTGGAAGACCCAATTTATTTTATGTGTGTAGATCAGTGCACACTGACCAATGCACAGTCTTCGCAGTAGGGCTCTGTTCCAATGGCATGAAGTAGTCACGACAATCCAATAGATTCCTATCTGCTGCAGCCTTCATCCACCATCACAGCCGTTGTAACATACCGCTTGTTATCACCCGCCTGTTCTGCTGTTGAGGACTTCTTGGATCATTCTTTGTCTAGCTCCTTTCCTTTGACCTTACCGCCTTGGGTGACCCTGCTGGGAGTATGAGATTCCCGGCGGCTTCACTCACAAGGGTCATAGGAACATGCAAGCCCACTCACCCTGACAAGGTGGGAAATATAAGAATATACACACAAACACACACACATACAAATTATCAGTCTCAGACTTTTATAGCAAAAGCATTCTTTATGTAAAAACTGTAGTCCTATTAATATTTTCATATTAATATGAAAATACTATCAATATCAGATACGTTATGAAAGGCTGTAGTGATATCTGACTTTATGGTGGATATTATTTAATGAATTGGAGTAGCAGAAGGTTGGGCTGGAATTCGCTGCTCTGTAGTCATCTGCTGTTGCATACGGACTTTCCAGTAACTTTCCAGGAGCAGCATCTCCACAGCAGATGGTGTTGGTTTGGGTGCATCAGCACACTTCTGAAAATGCAATGTCATGCAACGGAACCTGCAGATTGGTTTCTTTTCATGGACATGTAGCAAAGGACAGTGCCTGCTGCCCATTATCAAATGGAGCTAAAACAAACAAGGTTGTTGCTGTTTTTTCCTGCCCCTTCCAGAATCCACAGTTGGGCAATGCCTTTATTGGAAGACTGTCCAAAGGCCTGGAAGTATCCAACAGACCTATCAGTGGTAGTAAATAATGCTGTTTCTGAGGGGAATTGTGTGCCTAAGAATACCCCAGTGGGGTCTGGAATATTCCTGGGAAGGACAATTCCCCAGACTCTCCCACCCCCCATGACTTCAGCGCTCTTGGGCACCCAAATGGTTTATATTCTGGGGAAGCCCCATGTTTAGAAAACAGCCTCAGCATCCTACCTGTCTCAAAGGTTTCCTTCATCATTATGATGGGTGCCCTATGTGGAGTCAGGATCATTTTTCCATCTTCAATGTGTACTCGATCTTCCAATTTCTGTGTTGAAAATGTCTAAAGTGTGATATATAATCTGTCCAACAGGAGCTGAACTGAGACCACCTAACTTATTCCCCCTGAAGCTTTAGATTTACAGAAATGCTTAAGGAGCTGAGCCTGCTAGGTTTTAGAAGCTGCATCTTAACCTGATCATCCATTTTGCATCCATTTCTGGCCTATGTTATACTTAAACAACCAGCCTAGTGTAGGCTATTGCAAATGAATGATGCTTTGTTTAGGCATACAACTCTGGCTGGTGTTAATCAAATAAATTCTTGAAGGGAGAGGAAAAACTCTTCCCTTCAGAATATTTTTTCTTGTCAGGTCAATTACTAGAGAGGTGGCACTTAACATAAATTTCTTCTCCATGCCAAAAGAGAAGCGAAAGGACATTTGATTATTTATTTTGGGGGTTTCAATGATTGCTGGTGTCCTAATGGGAACGCTGTATTGCTTTGGGTGAGTGCTGCAGGTACCAAAGCAAGCACTTGCCCTACAACTGCACTTGAGGTCTGTGGGCAAGGGATTCCTAAATATCTCTGGCTTAAGTCCTCACTTAAGGACTTCAGCTGATGGGAGTGTCCCTTGGAAATCTGCTCTGGGGAACCTTCTGCTGTGGCATGAGAGATGGCACAGGGGGCTGCAGGGGAGAGGCAACCACAACACAAATCCACCCTGGGACCTTCCATGGAATCCCAGTGTCTACTTTCTATGGAAAGAGCTCTTCTGTTCATGGAGCGCTAGTTAGGATTCAAACCTCTTTGCGTGTTGAGTCCCACAATGCCACCCCCCACCAAAAAAATTCACACATCACGCATCAATTTTTGTTAAGGTTTTTGGCATAATTTTGGCCACAACTTTATTCAAATACAAAAATGTGAGTGGTTGCTTAGGCATTGGTTATGACTATCTGTCCTCGCCCCAGGGACAGAGCTGACTCCGGATTCCAGCGGAAGCCAGCGTGGGAAACAAGTATTGGGTGAGAAAATGAAGCTGGGCATCAGTCCCTCACTTCTCACCCTCATGTTCCTGTGGGGCTTGCACGGCCCAAGTCCGATGCCAGGGACAAGGACGAAAAGAATGGCAAGCCCCTGGATTCCTTTAACGGAATTCCCTTTCCACACCACCATTGGAGGGGTAGGCACTTACCCCTCCACCAACCAATTATTAACCAATGCCTAACCGCCAACCTTACAAGTTGTGACGATTTGCTACGCAGTAGGCAAAAACCAACAGGCACCAGCCAATCAGCCAGTTGGCAAAATTCCTACCAGGCCCCCGCACCAAGGCGGACGACCCCATGACAGGCATAGCAAGGTCAAGCGAACACGAAACCCCCCCCCCCTTATTAAAGGGAGGGTGGGCGGGTGATCCGGTGCAAAAAGCCAAGAGGACGCCCAGCATTGGGTGTCCTGTATTTATATCCTCTGATCCCTCCTCCAAATTGGCAACATCCAAAACTCCCCAGTAACCCAAGTTAACCACTTAAGGGCTTGGTTTTATCCAAATCTGCCCAGTAACAGTAGGGTGGCTTGTTTCCCCCAACCGCAACACATGCTCTCATTTAGGGAGAACACGTTATATCAAAGCAGAACCTGATTTCGACAACTCAGGTCGGGGGGCCTGGCCCTTCAGAAGTTTTTGGCCTCCAACTGTCATCAACCTCAGCTAGCATGGCCCATGGTCAAGGCTGAGAGAAGTTCTAATCCAGCAATATTCAAAGCTCCACAAGTTTCCCACACCACTTTAGGGGACACAACATTTTGGTTCAGATTCTTTGGAGCCCTCCCCCCACCCCTAAAATTGGATTCAGGTTTCTTTGCCTATGTATTTGAGGAATATCCCTTGGATGCTGCACTTTCCCATTTCAAAAACCCTGCAGAAGTGTGGCTCACTCCTCTTGGAAGCTTATTCTGAAAGGATTATTAACTGGTTGTTGTTGTTGTTGTTCCATCTTTCTCAAAACAATTATTGCCTGTGAGCATTCAAAATAATTCAAGGGCACTTGCAAAAGAAAAGAAAAGTATCTTGGCCATGTTCCTTCCTTTCACCCACACATTCCCCATGCAAACTGTATTAATAAGGTTAGGTGCGTCATGAAATGGAAAGAAAATAAATTGATCTTTTATAGTTATGCAACCAATTACAGGCTACTGTTTGGCTTAGGGTTACTTTTTGCTATCCACTTTGGTGAAATGCCAGTTTTAAGAAAGCTACATTTTGGCAGATTCATTTTGAGTGGAATTCAGTGCCTCACATAGAAATATCTCATATACTGCAATCAACATTATGATATCTACTTTGTTGCTGCTAGCAGAATAAAATTAGTATATTTGGTTGAATGTTATAGTGTACGAATTTGTTTTTAAATCATTTCTGAGGGAACATCCAAATGGGTGTGTTTCAGATAGTGCTATGCACTGATGCCAGAGAATTGGATCTTCTTAAATCCAGTGCTCCCCCCCTTAAAAAAATGTTTAGAGGTACTCTCAATTTCCTACTCATATTGAAATACTGCCCCTCAATGAGGCCAAACTTAGATTCACAAAATCTTTAGGGGTATGCGTACCCCTGCATCCCCCCCAAGAAAAAAAAGCACTGCTTAAATCCAATGGCACATGTAAAGACCTTCTGCGCAGACACTCCTTTTAATAACAGGTGATGATTTATTATTGCTTTTTACATGTGTGTCAAGGCAATTCACAAACATATCCTAAGAACAGCAGAGAAGTTTTAAAAACCAGATAGGCTTAAGAGCAATACAGAAAGAACACCTAAACCAGAGACCTTTTCACCCAGCTGAAAAAGCTTGTCAAAACAGACACATCTTCAGTTGTTTCTGGAAAGAGATATGAAACGTGTCATATCTCAACAGGGATGCTGTTCCACAGAACAGGGGCAGCAGCTACACTAAAGACCCTGCTCCAAGTTACTATGGAGTGGGCTTCTGCTATTTTACATGGCACTTAAGGGGAACTGAGGGAGAATCACAAATTTGTCATGGAGGGTCCCATCAGTACCAGGAGGAGGGCCACTAGCCCTTACACTGTAGCCCAAGGATGGGGAACCTCAGGCCTTGAGGGCTCATGTGGCCCTCCAGGTGTCTGCAAACCACAGCCCCTCCTCCAGAGCCACATCCTCTCCCCCTAGGCACACCCTTCACCAGCCTTGCATCATACCCTCCTTGAGCTTTTTGGCCCAGCAGGGATGTGTCCTTGAACAATGACATGTGCTTACCTGGAGAAGAGTGCGAGAGGATGTGCAGAAACTAGCCTACTGTGCAAAAAATAACATTTACATTCAATTCACCACCCACTTTTTCATCTAGCCTTGCCCACCTCTAGCACATGACTCTTGGAAAGTTTTTGAGAAGGGAATGTGGCCCTTGGTCTGAAAAAGGTTACCTGCCCCTCCTGTTCCCCTATTCAGTCATCCCACACCCCGCTCCCTACAAGGTTACTACTATGCAAGGGGGACAGCATGGCTGACCCCTTTGGCTGCCCGTTGCTAAATGCTACATTGCCATTCTAGCAGTCCTTCACTTGTTAGGTATAAACGTCAGAAGTGCAGGGCGGGTGTCACTGTACTCACATTTGCTCTCCCCTGGGAGAGCAGAGTTGAAGAGGGCTTGCTACCAAGAAAGTCCAAAGGATTGCAGCCTGCTTGGTTTCTAGCTAGGAGGAATTCAAACTAAGGATGTGCCAGTAGAACGCTGAAAGAACAGAGAGCTCACCATCATTGGGATGAATAAAAGCATCAAGCTGGTGTTGACACTCTCAATCAAAATCAAATTAAAATGGCCATATCAAATCAACATCTCGTAATAAAAGAACAGTGTTCTGCCTCCTTCCTCCATGCCAAACAAATGGAACTACAAAAACTGGCATCTTAATTTAAAACAAATAAAGGGTGCTTTATCTCATCATGCCAGTCCGAAACACACATTTCTGTTTAGATGTATCTCCAAGGATAGTCTTTATTTTTTTTGAGAGAAAAATCTGTCTGCAAAACAATATCTTTTCACTGAGATTTATTTTTCTGCATTAAACTTTCCATCAGTGTAAATGTGCCCCAAAGTATAGCACGCTCATCAGTATGCTGGAAGTGGAGGTCATGCTCATGCTGTCATTTATGATATGAAACCTATAGTGGCAGCAACTCTCTGTCCCCCCTAGAATCATAGAATCATAGAATCATAGAGTTGGAAGAGACCACAAGGGCCATCGAGTCCAACCCCCTGCCAAGCAGGAAACACCATCAGAGCACTCCTGACATATGGTTGTCAAGCCTCTGCTTAAAGACCTCCAAAGAAGGAGACTCCACCACACTCCTTGGCAGCAAATTCCACTGTCAAACAGCTCTTACTGTCAGGAAGTTCTTCCTAATGTTTAGGTGGAATCTTCTTTCTTGTAGTTTGGATCCATTGCTCCGTGTCCGCTTCTCTGGAGCAGCAGAAAACAACCTTTCTCCCTCCTCTATGTGACATCCTTTTATATATTTGAACATGGCTATCATATCACCCCTTAACCTCCTCTTCTCCAGGCTAAACATGCCCAGCTCCCTTAGCCATTCCTCATAAGGCATCGTTTCC